GTTGTAGAGCGTAGTCTCACCTTCGCGTGGATATAAATAACATCGAAAACGGAGTTCGTATGAAGAAGATATGAATTTCCGAAGTTTATTAAATAATTAAGAATTAAATTTAATTATTAAATCCGGTCTTATCCGAAGGCGAGTCACCGGGTTCATCCGGAGTACGCCCTGCGTACGCCGAGAGTGTCGACATTTCAGATGACGCATGCAGTGACGATTTCGGACGCCCGTACGCCCCGCGTAATTGAGACTCCTAGCCTCCTATAAATAGGATGCGAGGGTAGCCGGCTTCTTTGCTATTTTTCTCCATTCTCTCTCCCGTTTTGCCTCGATTTGCGTACCAGAAGTACCCCAAAGCCCCGGTAATATTCCCGAGTCCCGAGATCCCGAAGATCCCGAGAAGTGCGGTTTCCGAGCCGAAGCTCTGCCCGCGAGAAGTTCGATTTTTGTAGAGATCTTCCAGATCTGCTGAGGATTACTACTTTTGCAAGTCGTAGTACTATCCGATCATCTTCTGATCAGGTGAGTGTATACTACCTTTCATAAACACGATAATAATACAAGTATGATTTGAGTGTACTAAGTATATTGTTGTTTATATGTGTGAGTGTGTGGTTACTTTCTTCTAACGCATAATTATCAAGTATTTAATATAAAATACGTGTTATGTGTATATTTTGTTGTTATATGCGTGAATGTAGATTCACTTTCTTCTATCTCATAGATATGATTTATTCTCTAAGAAATACGTGTTATGTGTATGTGTCTCATCTGTTGTTTTGGAATATGTATTGAATGAGAATGCTATGCAGGTTTTAAACTATGTATAAAAGTATATATTTTTATCTACTAATATGTTGGGTAGAACATGGGTAGATATTTGGTGTGTAATAAACAGATGAGAGGCCTCAATGTTGTTTTGATCCAGTCATCTAGCGGAATTTAGATGACAACCACGGACTTTTCTAGACAGTCTAGTGGAACGCTAGCAGGCTCATAACCTGTAGGTGTTAATGAACTTGGGTGTTCATTCGTTGTATTCCACCCCCCTCATGGTTGCCTTATTTGACTTATATTACTGAGGAACCCCCGCAGCATGTGTTGTCACCCCGATGAAAATATTCTTAGATTAGGTCCCTTGTGTTAGTTATTTTAGGACATAAAGTGAGAATAACGGAAATGGGTAACTGGCTTATTGTTGGTTGATAATAATTAATCTAATTATTTATTGTGGGTTGAAAACCCTATATCCTGACCCACACAGTTTTATTTGTATTACAGGAAGTGGCGCAAGGGCGTAAGATGGATGAACCATCAATTTGTTTTGTTTACAAGTCTATATATGTATATATTTGTTGAATGACTTGTAATGTTATCGTTTATGCTTATTGGTTTGTATCGGAACATGACACCCCGAGTTTTGATTATATAATGAAAAATACATTTCTTTTATGAAATGCTTTGGTAAACATTGTTTTATCATGTTTTGTTTTTGGGAACAAATTCCGCAACTCTTTCAAATCAAAAGGATTTACTCTGAATTTATTTTAAAAGCATAAATGAAAATCAGTCTTTTCTGGCCGAGATTTTGGGGATGTCACACAATTGCCCTTGAGTTTTTGTTCCTGTCCTGTTTATGGTAGAGATGCTTGCTGGTTCTGGAGGAGCTTGATTAAGCATATTGTTCCTACCTAGTTTGGTACATGATGACTTTATATTGTTTTTGCCCAATTCATGTTTTAGATACTCAATTACAAATGAAAATGCTCTTGAGTTTTTGTATGGGGCTAATGCCATAAAAGCCCTTAAATTTTCAAGAAATGTCCAGTTATATCCTAAGTCCATTTTTATGTCCACAAAAACCGCACATTTCGTAAAAAATTATCATAATTGCCCTCTTTTCCGATTTTACCCTTCTATGGCACTAGAGAGTGTTTGGTTATAGATTGACACATGTTAAGGGATGTTTAGAAAAGAACCTCCAGTGCTTGCCTGCTTTGAAGAAATCACTGGAGAACAATCAGGTTTGCTACCATTGGCCAATTTTATAGCTCTTATTCTCTCTACTTAATCCCCATATCTGTTGGTGGGCTTGATTAGGGTTTGATGGTCATATGCAAATCTGATTTCATTTGATTATTAAAGTTTCAGATTTGGGTTTTTTTCCTGGGTTTGTGTTGAAGCTGTATTTGGTTTCAAATATGAGGAAATCCAAAATCTAAATAAAACGAAGGGCATGCAGAATCCTCTTTTATTTAGTAAAAAGGATGATTTCAGATGGTGACCAGATAGATAGGAAAATATGACGATCTTTAAAACGCCATGGTTGTTCTTGCGCAGATGTTGACAGAAAAACATAACAGAGATGATGGAGGCGTGATAACTAATGACGAAGATGCCCTAATCTCGTCGCCCCTGTTCCATTTCCTTGTATCCATGACTTGTTTGTGATTTCCTTGTGCTAACCGGAAATGAACACAATCTTTGGATTTTAGTGTTTTTTACTTTTATGTTTGGTTTTGAGGTTCGATTTTAGATGAGCTTTTGATGTTTGATTTCATGTGATTTCAGGTTTGAATATAATTTTAAGGTTAGATTTCATATTTGAATATTAGATTGAGGTGTGGTGGTTGAAGACGGTTCTTTTAGCAGGAAGGAGGAGGAGGTGATCGTTAGAGCACGACTCTTCTTCTTCTTCTTCTTCTTGGAAGCAGGCGAGCATTGGAGGTGCTTTCCCAATCCACCCAGTCGCTGCTTACTTTTCCCCTTGATTGGTGGCCGCGGACGACGAGATAAGGACCACGAAGGGTCGTTGGAAGTTGTAGGTCGTCGGAACATCCCCTAATGCCAAACATCCCCTAACATGTGTCAACATGTAACCAAACACCCCCAAATGCCATAGAAGGGTAAAATCGGAAAAGAGGGAAATTATGATAATTTTTTTCCAAATGCACGGTTTTTGTGGACATAAAAATGGACTTAGGATATAACCGAACATTTCTTGAAAATTTGAGGGTTTTTATGGCATTAGCCCTTTTTGTATGTGTACCTGAGTTTTTTGAACTTGTTAATTGGAGGAGTTGATTCATTTTTTATTAGCTTTTGCATCTTTTAATTTCTTTTAATATTATTTATTTTGATTATTTGACATTAAAACTTGTTATATTATGAGCATTTTAAATAATTTTTTTAATTAAAATGTTAATTTCACTACAAGAAAAACAGCCTTTAACGACGCGCAATCAATGACACGCGCTAATAGAGGATACGCATTTGTGTGTGCCCTAAAAATCGATGTCAGTTTTCCAAAATTTGAAGGATAAAGGACACGCATTTGTGCGTGCCCTACGATTAGTGTTAAACAAAACAAAATTAAAAACATGGAGGGCGCTTATTTTAAGTGTGTATCGTCTACAAATGTCGCTTTATATTTTTTTTTTAACAAAACGCGCGTTTTTAAAGAGGATCTAAAATTCTAAAATTTTGAATACCCCGCTTCTCACTCTGATCCTATGGGTCGCCTTATCTCTCGCACAGAGCCATTCTCTCCATCCTCTCTCTCTCTCTCTCTCTCTCTCTCTCTCTAACCCTAGACACAACCACTGGCCATTCACGTTCCTTCTTGCTCCATATTTTTTACCTTCGTCGGATCTATCTTCTTCTCCCCCGACGCTATCTTCTTCTTGCTCCATAAAATAAAATCGGCGACCAAAGAATCAGGCTCGCTTCTTATTTTGCTTTTCCGTCTCCAACAAAAATCCTAGTTTCTATCACCGCTTCTTGTCCCTCACAAAATCTTCCATAGAACCGGCGATTGGGGGTCTGCGACTCTTCATGTTGACAACGCCCTGCTGCAACTCACGATGGGGCCCAACGGTGAAGCAATAACATAACATGGTTGACTGCTCTGGCATATTTACTTTCGTATTCATCTTCTTCCTCTCTAGCTTCCCCTAAATACAAAATTAATCCCACTGTTGAATTAGTGAATTAGGGGTTAGGGTTTTGAGTGATTTGGGGAGAAGATGGTTGGCTCTAATGACCAAAAACTTCCTGGAATTGGGATTGAGAAAAGAAGATTGTGTGGAAGGAAGTTGGATTGACTATGTACTTTACTGGGCCTACTTCAATAACACAACCGAAGACACAGTGAGGTAAAGTTTACGGGTTGCAGCTACTCTTCCCCTCCATTTCTCTCTTTCTCTCTCATCTCTCATCTCTCTCGCTCTAATAAACTCCCATGTTTATTCCTTTTGAATGCTCTCTCTCTCTCTCTCTCTCTTACAACTTTTAGATCGAGGTGCTCTCTTGTCGTCGATGTTTCTGGATGTAGTCCTTCGCATACAGGTATGATTTAGTACAAGCTTACTTTGCATCTCATAATACATCCAATAATTAATGTCTATATATCTTAAATATAATAATGCATATCTTTTTTGGTGAATAGACAAAAACGGGAACTGTATTTATCTAGTGTGTAACTGAAATTACTCATAAGTCATAAGTGCCCTTGTTAGAAATAACAATTGATCCCATGTGCATATAAATACATAATCTTTTTATGGATATACATCATGAATCAATATGCAAAATTGTTTCCATAATCCATATACCTCCTAAATTTTTAATTGAAATAAATGTATTGGCCATTATCTATATTACACATGCTTTTGTAGTGTTATAGAGAAATATGCCAATTTAGCTGATAGAACTTCTGAAGAACAAAGATTGTTATCAATAAAGGACATCCCATACTGGTAGTTGTTGCAGATTTGAGGGGATGGAAGTAGATATATCACTGGGCACTTATTACTAGGAATCATTGAACATTGCATCACCATCCTTTTTTGTTTATTATTCATTTATTTGTTTTTTTCCTGTGTAATAAAGAATGCAGGGTCTGAAGGTGAGTTTTTTTTTTGGCTACCAATCCTGAATTATCAGGTTCACCTCCAAGGAGGGCTCCACCAGCTGTTCCTTTTGTGGCCCCATCACCCATTATGTCAGACATAACATCACTCCCCTTTGAGGCAACAGAAGAGGATGAACCAGTTATATCCAACTCAAAATCTTTTAACTCGGGCCCAGCTCAGAATTTAACTATTGATGACATTGATGATTTTGAGGATGATGATGATTTGGAGGAACTGAATAGTCGCAGGTATTCAAGGAGAACAATGAATGATACTGTTGATCTTGTTGTGGTTTTGCCTTCATTTGCAACAGGTAAACACAAATGATGGAAAGTTTTATGAAAATATTGTATCATCTTCTGAAATTGGTGTGTTAAGTTATGTGTTTGGTCATTTCTTCAGGTATAACTGATGACGATCTTCGTGAATCTGCCTATGAAATCCTTCTGGCTGCTGCAGGAGCTTCGGGGTATCTTTTCTTTCTTTTCTATCTTTGGCTCTGTGCATGAACTTTATTTTGTACACACACATAGTTTTAGAATTTCTTTTGAATTCCCATTTTGCTGTGACTGATTCTGTCTGGACTACAGATCTGCCAAACTACCTTTTGACTATTATGTAATGATTGTTTAAGCAGGGGACTTATAGTGCCATCAAAGGAGAAGAAAAAAGAAAAGAAATCCAAATTGTTGAAGAAGCTTGGAAGGAGTAAGAGTGAACAAGTTACAAATCAATCCCAACAATCAACTGGTTTGACTGGCCTACTGGAGACAATGTGTGTCCAGATGGAGGTACAAACTATATTTCTGTTTTATATATACACTGTTTTATATAGTAGTCTATTTTGCTTGTATGATATATGGTTTGTTTGCATGTTGGACATGATTGATGGGGACTGTTAGAAACCATACTGAGTTTAGGTTTGCTCTTACCAGATAGGAGTTCTATTACAGATATTACTATTAGTTATATAAAGTATATGCTACTTCCTTATGTCATGTTATTAATTAGTAGACTCTGGACCCCACAAAGTTGTGCTTGATAATAATAATGATTGTTGTAAACACAGATTTCTGAGGTATGTAAATTTTATATCCAATGTTAAGAATGATTTTGTTATAAATTGATTAAATTCCCTCCCTCCACCTGTACCCTTACAAACCATGGTAGCATGATTAACATTAAACTTCTAATGTTGTATTTACTAGTGGAGTTAAATGCAAGAAGTGGCAACATTATTGGGTAGCTTTAACAAGCCTTAAGAAAGAAATGGAAGTAGCATATATGATGATGACGCATAACAAACAGCTATATTTTATGAATGTATGCAGGAAGTGGAAGAAATACTTGAACTTCTAAAGTCAATGTGGCGTATCTTGGGAATAACAGAGACTATTCACCACACCTGTTATGCATGGGTGCTATTCCGCCAGGTAATAACAAATCATAAATTAGTTTATTATAGTAATTTCAAGAGCTATAAATTTAAGTTTTTTTTTTCTTTTTGCAGTTTGTGAAAGCAAAATTGCTAGCTGGTAATAATGTACTTTATTTAATTAAAGTCCTCTTGCTTATTATTTGTCTATTTTAAATTCTTCTGTTGGTTGGTTATTCCTAGCAACTGGTTATGTTTAATAATCTTTAAAATTTTAATCCGACTCACTCAGAAACATTTGATTTCATTCCATTGTTTCAAGACATACATAGAGTTATCGAAGGAGATAAATGAATGAATCTTTCAAGAAATTATCTCAGGTTCCATCTTTTTCTACAAATCACCCAATATTTCTACATATGACGATAATACCCCTATATAAATATAACATATTTATCTTTTTTTTCTTCTTATAGAGAACAACTTGGTTGGGAATATTTTACATGTGCATACCTACAGGAATTGCCCTTGGTTATGTTTATGGTGGATGGGTAAATTTGGCAAGAGAACAGGTTGGTTTATGAAATCCTTCATTTATTTTCATGATATTATCCAAACAATTTAATTTCCAATTCCAAAAATTTATTTATTGCTAACTTATTTACAAATTTTTCTTCCTCATTCTCAAGGAATTGGGCCCACACAAGGTTGGAGCACTTATATAGGAAGCTTAATTCATGTAAATTTTAAGTTTTGTTTTATGCTTTTCAAGGTTCTGTTCGTTACATTTTTATTTTTGATTTAAATATTGTGTCTGATATGGTGTTTGTTTGGTTTTGGGTTTTGGTTAGGAAGTTTGAGCTCGGTAAGTTCGAGCAACATCTATGGTGGCCCGAGCAGCATCTATTTCAATATTGATTGTGTGAAAGTCATCTACTAAAGCAAGGTTGGTGTAAGAGTTGATGATGCGAACATTGTTCCAAGACCTTCAGTGAGTTATGATGATGTCCCTTAATAGCAACGTAGTATTAGGTTATGTAGTTAGCCATGATTATTTGTATTTGCATTTTAGTGCAATGAATTATCTTTCTTATTTATTGTATTTTATTATTTATTTTGAATGACATTAACTTTTATGCAATGGATTGTATTTTTTGTATATGGTATTTTATTTTCTATTATGAAACATGAAATGCAAATTTAATTTGAAAATTAGTAAACCTATAAATATATATATTTTTTTAAAATAAAAATAAAAATTACGATACGCAAAAATGTGTGTCATCTTCATTTATGACATGGCCTTTCTTGACAGCGGCTTTAATGATACGCATTGCGTGTCATAAATGCGCGTCGTAAATGCGCGTCGTCTCTCGTTATGACAGGGCCTTCCTTGACGCGCATTTGCGCGTCGTCTGAGCGTTTTACGACGTGCAATGAGCATCGTAAAAGGCCTTTTTTCTAGTAGTGTTTTGAAGTAATGTATGTTAAATATAGTTATTATTAATATTTTTTGCAAAATGATAATATGGTCATTTTTACATCTATTTTTGTCCAGTTCTATTGCTACCAAACAGTTTCAGACAACTTGTTCTATTTTGTTTCAGTCTTACCAAACGTTATACAAATTACCTGCCTTGTCTAGTCTTGTTCTGTCCAATGCAATCCAATTCTGTTCCACATAGTCCATCTACCCAATGGTACTTAAGAGGATTTAACCAATAAATAAACTGGAAACATTGTGTGTATGTGTGTGTGTGTGTGGGGGGGGGGGGGGTAAGGAATAAGGTGGTAGCCACGTTATTTATTTTTATAAACAGGTAAATTACATCATTCGTCCCTCGTGCAGGTGCCAAAAAGCACGTTTAGTCCTTATTTTCAAAAATTAACTCGGGTTGTCCCTCATATATCTAAAACTTGCGTGTTCCATCCCTCAATAGTTTGAATTTGCATGTTGTATCCTTTGGAAGACATAAAAAGACTATTTTGCCCTCACTATTTTATTTTTAATTAAGTTATAATTAATTTTGTATCAAAATAAAAAGAAAATAAAATAAAATACCCCACCCCTTCCCTTTCTATTTCCCCTTTTTCCTTCTACATTCCCTTTAAATCACAATTCGCCGGACCACCACAACTATTTTCACCTCCGAGGTTCCCACCATCACCGCTCTATTCACCTCCAACCACCACCGCTCTAAACGTTGCAGAATAAGAAGATCGAGAACCCACATGTACCATAGAAGAAAAAGATTCAAATCGGAACACCAAAACGCCACCAACACCTCTTAGACTTCATCTTCCTCCGACGAACATCACCTGAACTCATCTTCCTCCGATGTGCATCAAGAAACTCTTCTGTCTTCTCTAAAACATCGATGCCAGCACATACACACAGACTCTCAATCTTTCTCAACTTCGCTGAACAACTCACATGGTCATCACCTCCTAAACTCTCTTTGATCCACCATCCTATCTCCCAAAATCAAACCCCATAACTTAAAGCTACACACAAACCCCACCACCATATCGGTAGGTTTGGGTGGTTGTAGAAGTCGTTGGAAACAAACTCCATCTCTGTCGAAAACAATCTCCTCTCTCACTTTCGGAGAAAACATCTTCATCACCACCGACGTTATCATCTCTTGTCTCACCCCTTTTATCCATCCTTCTGTATTTTGAACCAAATCTCCAAGACCATATCCTTAAGCTTTGTTATTCACAGTTAGAAGCATTGTAAATTTCCAAACCACAAATCGAACTAAGAAGAGGAGAGATCAGAGAAACTGAGTTCCAAACCACAAATAGACCTAAGGGGATCGACACTAACTATTTGTCGCCTTTGTTGGGGTGACTGTCGCCATCGACAACTCTATTTCTTCCGCACCAGCATACACAAATTGAGCATCGATGTGGATGATTTGTTCAAGGGGATTTAACCTGAAATTAGTTTCGTTAGGGTTTAATCCAGGTGATGTCGCTGTAATTTAAGGTTTGCTGTGGGTTTATTCCATACGATTTAGGTTTGTTCCAGTGGAGCAACAGAAGTTGAGAGAAGGGAAGAGGTGGAGCGACGGTATAAACTTTGATATTAAGTCTAATTATTAAAAAAAAATCTAAAAACTGATAAAGAAATAAAAAAAATGAAAAAAAAATTATTAAGGGTAAAATAGTAATTTTATGTCAATAGGGACTACGCATGCAAGAAAAAACAAACATATGGACGGTCCGAGTTAATTTTTGAAAATAGGAACTAAACGTGCCTTTTGGTACTTGCACGAGGGACGAATGGTATAATTTACCCTTTTATAAACTCATAAAATATATAAATAATTAATAAATAAAGAAAATGAAGAAAAATACAAAAACTTTATATTTTCAACTACATTTGAGATTCACCATATATATATATATATATATATATAATATATATATATATATATATATATATATATATATATATATATATATATATATATATCTAAGTTTTAAAAAAAAAAAAATTAGAGATTAAACACGTAAATCATCCAAACCA